GGGCGGCGCTAGACCGAGGGCAGCTGAAGCTTTACCATTAGTTCCATCAAGCAAACCGAAGCCGATACCATTTGCGGTGGAAGAGCCGAAATTGACTTTCCCAGAATGCGGGAAGAGAGTCACACGCGTGCCGTCGAAGAATTCGAACTGCTTCTTCGGACCCTCGCGACATGGCGCTGGATTACACTCGTAGCACTTGTAGATGATTTTCTCGCAGCCACCTGGAGCGGTACTCTCGTACCAGTGTCGCCATACAAGGTACGTGATTGAACTCCCGGTGTCAACAAGGACGGTCACATCTTCACCATCGATCTTCAAATTGGCCAACAGATGAGCCGAATGCGCCGCGCCGGACACTTTCTGCGGAGATATACCCATTCGGATCAACTTCTCTCCCCAACACTTGCCCAGAAATAGTACACCAACCAGCGCCAAAGAAGTCGTGTGAACCATTGAAGGCATTAAGATATCACGAGTAGAACGTTGAGAATCGTCAGACAGACCCGACTCTGAACTCGACAGAGAATAGGGGAAAGCCGGAAGCTTATCTTAACTCTTGTTCCTCGGAAAGCCTGTGCATGCGTATCGATCCGGGAATGGATACCTCACACAGAAACTATACGCCAATCTCGTCCGCGCAACGAGAACAGTAGACAGTCCTGCGGCACACAACAAAAGGGGCGTCATTATGACTAATAATGTGGCAACGAACGGTCCATTACGTAGAACGCCCTGTTCCGCGCGTACTTGTGGACACGCATAGACAGCCATCGTTGTAGCGACACGGTTTCCTCCCCTGCAGACTCTTCATTGGAAGCTATCGACGACGGACTCGCGTGCAACCCAACATCGCTTTCTCTACTAGGACTCGTATCCATATCGGAGTAATAGTGACGGAATAGACCGAAGATTAAGATCCAAATAAGAACCCCTGAAGTACGTAAGATACTCGAAATGTAACGAGCTGCAAAATTACGGACTTCTCGATTGACGTCACAGATCAGAACCGAATATCGGACGCGTCACAGACATATCTTGTAATCTCATAAGTTCTTGACTATTTCTCAATAAGTCTGATAATGAGTATACGAAAGAGAAAAGTAGACAGGATCAATCACGAATCCTCGTCTGAATAAGCGACAACTATAGCAGAGTTGTCAAGCCTCGAGAGATCATCATCACATTATTCGCCCCCTTTTTGCCAAACAATCTTGGCAAAACCATTCATCCGCCAAAATCGCATCTGAGTCCTCGCTCAAACCAAGACAGGAAATATGGAACCATTGATTACAGCCATCACAGGCAACCATAACCATACCATCACGAAGATCTTGGCAGAGTGGACAGACAT